GATGGGGGTGGGATTTGGGGAGGAGGGGCCCATTGGGCAGAGTGACACGGGGGTGTCAGCGCCCCTAACCTTCCCCCACTGCCTCCCCTGCCCTGACGCAGTCTTGGCGCCGGGCCACTTCCCCCCAGGCTTCGTCGTGTCCCCCCCCAGACAAACCCTGCACCTCCGCCCCCGCTCCCCAGACACTTACCTGCATCCGGCTGCTCCGCGACCCTGCCTGGCTCTGCAGGTGCGGGCCCAAGCGGCTCCTCGTAGGCCAGGGTGCCGGCAGGAGGACGCCCCCCCCGCGCTTTCCTGGAAGTTGCTTGCGCCCCTTTCGAATGTTCACACTCGCGACCCGGTTTTGGGCGCGACCCACAGGTCGAGAAAGGCTGGGACGTAGAGCAGCTTGTGGGGGGCTAAAGGGAAAGGGGGGGACGCCCCCCTGCAGCATCCAGGGAAGGGACAAGTGACCTCCAAGCGCAGGGGAGCAGGGCGCGATCTCGCACTCGGGCCTAGTTTCCGTACGACCCCAGGGGCTGCGTGGCGAGGCCGAGCATCCGGCTTCCCTCGCGTTTCCACCTGGCAGAAGTGGAAGCTGCGTTTCCTCTTGCATGGCGATGCTTTTGTCGAGGCCGGGTGTGAACTTCGTTGGCCTTTGTCCACCTCCAGATTCAGGTCTTCAGCGGTAAAAGAGTGCATCCACGCCATACTGAAGGAGGAGCTAGCCAACGTGCAGTACAACCCGGAGGAGACGCCGCAGCTCACAAAGCAGTTATCTGAGACCATTAAAGACAGGCTGAAAGGTAATGAGGATGGATAGGGATATGCTTCTCTCCTTACTGAGCTGGCCCTCTTCCTCTGACAGGTATTGACTCCCTCTTTCCTTCCTCATTCCCTACCCCTCTGCATTGACCACTCGCTGCCCATAACCTAGCGTTGCTCAATAAATTCCCGTCCACGGGTGTGGTGCTCGGTGGAGTTGCCCCCTGCAAGGAGGAACTTAAAATCAAGTTGAGACAGACAAATGTGATTATGCAGACTGGACCCCCCTGAGAGGGGGGAATGAGAGAGAGTCTGGGAAGAGACAAGGACCAGACCGTGCTCCTGCTACCCTCAGGGAAATTGCTTCTGGTTTACTGTCATGTAAACCCTATTGTCATAGGGGATCAGAACGGGACCCAGTGCAGGATCCAGGAATAGGATTGGAAAGAGAGGAGGATACGAGAAGGAGTGTAAATTGCAAGCACGGGCTGCGAGACTACCACACTGAGCCCACAGTACAGCATGAGGCCGTACTGTAGTTGTAACTTGTAATTATTTCAGGACCCATTAAAACATTTCCAAAGCCCTGGTAGGAGATTCAGCATAATCGCTGATCAGTGATAATTTATCAGTGATCTTTGCATCGCCAGGGAACGGAGTTGTGCTCCCTCTGCTGGCTGCAGTGGCAGGAACAACCGAAACATTGCACGTCCCTGCACTGACCACGGTTTCTTAACTCCCTCCCCAAGAGATTCATATTAAGGGGGGGTGTGTGTGCATGTGTGCCTGTGAGTGCAAAACGCATGCAAACTAAACATCTAGGACCTGAGTGCAAGGCTTTAAAATCTCTCTCTCTCTCTAGAATCTCTATTTATATCTAAATATATAAATATAATGCCCTGCAGCAGCAGAAGCCCAGTCCAGCTCACAGGGCATGCTAACAGAGCGCATGTTCCCTGCAGTGGGAGATAAAGATGGACTGTAGCCTGCTGAAGCTTTCCTGGGCCCTGCCTGAGTGAAAGACAGAGGCAATCTTTTTTTTGTTCTATTTAAGGCAAGTTTGTTCCGGCCTTTGGGTTCCTGGCAAGTTTCCTTGTCCAAAGTGGAGATCACCCATGATCTCAGGGTGCATCTTTGCTCTTCTTTTAAAAGAGACCCAGGTGCTTTTGCAAGCACATAGCTCAGACCTACACCTGCTTCTGAGAAGTCTGTAACACTACAGTGGGAATCGTCAAGGCATTCTGTGTGCCAGAAACAGGAGGAAACATCCTGTGGATTAGACTAATTTTAAAATCAGTGAAATTGCCTGAATCCCTTTGGATTCATTTCATGTAACAGCCTCCTTTCCACTCAGATGCTTGTTTTAATGGCTCTTGTGGGCATCTTTAAATCCTTGAAAGATATAATAAGTGGAATGTTTACATTTATTGTGGCTGTTTGGGAACTTTCCTCTTTGATTTGTTTTGTGGGAGGCACTAAGCACTAGTCGCTTCAACATCCTGTTAAAGTAAATGGGTGATTAGCGTTTATGAAAATAAGACTAGTAGGCAACTTTATGCTTCATCGGTTGCGTTCCTTTTACCACCCATAAGATGCTAAAGCTTTCTAGCTACAAAATACATAGTTCTGCCTTTGCAACCTCTGTAGTAGAATTCTAAGCCTCTTAAATTTTGAATTTTAGTTCTTTGTAATATTTTTCTTTTCTTTTTCAGAAAAGGGGTTTGACAGGTACAAAATGGTGGTGCAGGTTGTGATTGGAGAGCAGAGAGGTGAAGGGGTGAAGTAAGTGTTGCACATAACAAGTGTTTTTGCTTTGGTTGTTCTCCTCAGGAATTGCTTCTAACTGTCCCTGGAAGTGGATGCTCTCATCAGGTTCTCTCTGCTGGAGTTAGAAATGTCAAGCCCAGTATAATGTCTTGTTAAGCAGCTGGGGAAGAATAATATTAAGGGTTAAATATTTAAAAGTTTTCAGCTCCTATTTAGCTGATTAAAGTGCCTGAAGAGCCCTGCACCCACCATACTGTGCTGCCTTTTAAGTCCCAGTCCCAGCTGTGGATGATGAGCACCTGCCAATCTAGCCACAGGTGTCTGCAATCAGAGGAAAGTTTCTACTTGATGTCATAGCAAGGTTCTGGCTCTGGGGCTGAGCTAAGAAAACCGGCTGGAACAGCCCAAGAACCAGGTAATCTGTATGTGCTGCATCTCTGTGCAGCAGCGTATCTGTATAGCTGCTATGAACTGGAAGCTCAGCAGTTGCAAAAGACTGAGAAGAGGGAGGTGGGTGTATGTGTTAGTCACAGGATACCAATGAGCCCGCAGTGCCTTGCAGCTGTAAGGACGCATGCCCTTCTGGAATCATAGGAAAGTAGGGCTGGAAGGAACCTCATGGGGTCATCTAGTCCAGCCACCTGCTCACAGCAGCATTATTCGTGACTAACCCATTCCAGCCACGTGTCTGTCTAACCTGCTCTTGGAAACTTCCAAGGATGGAGATTCTACAGTTTCTCTAGGTAGCCTGTTCCAGTCAAAGTACTTCCAGTAGAAGAGCCTATGCTATAGGTGGAAACTAAAAGTGCTTGGTGTGTTTAACCTGGAAAAAAGAAGGACGAGAAGGGATCTGACTGCTTTCTGCCAATATATCAAGGGGAGAGAGGAGGGATCTTTCAGCCAAAGGTGGACAGAAACTGGCTGGGAATAATTTTTGGCTGGAAATTAGAAGCAGGTTCCTAACGATCAGAACAGTGAGAGTCTGGAACAGCAGCTCTGAGGCGGGCAGCAGGGGTAAGAAACCAGACTGGAGGTGGGTCACATTCTGTTGGCATTGCACACAACAGCAAGTCACTGGACTCGATGACCCAAAAGACACCTTCCCACCCCGCATGTTATTTAAAGGAGAATATTGGTCTTCACAGCGACTCCACAATGATATCCCTCTTGATGCTGCAGTCTGTCTTGTTAATGGTTTTGTCTCGGTTCATTTGTTTAGCATGGCTGCCCGATGCTTCTGGGACGCTGACACAGACAGCTATGCACACGACGTCTTCATGAATGTAAGCCTTTTCTTTTTTGCAGGACGAGGGTGGGGGCGCTGATCTATTCCCCAGGGCGTTTTCTTGGCTGTGACGTGGGGGGAGGAGATTCTGCAGCAGAGCTGTATCCACACACAAGGTTTTGCCAGCAGATCTGCTTCAGCTATGGGATGTGTCACCCTTCAACAGCTCTGCTGGCAGAACTCTTGTTGTGTCACCCGAGGATTAGTAAGACATGGGAGGTACACACAGTACTCTCAGTACCCTCAAACATGCACCCAGAGGCAGAATTCAACTGTTCGTATGAAGTCAGTGTAGCTTGGGCACAGCTAATGATGAGAATGTCTGAGATTTTAGTGGATGGACTGAAGTCAGGTGAAAACCTGGCATGCGAAGTTGCTATAAGAATTGGTTGGGATTGCTTAAAGTACTCTTGTCTGAATCTTCCATTAGAGCCTATGTTCTTAATGCAACGGGAAGAAAAGCTAATCTCTCCACACTCCCATGTGTCTGCCATGGATACTTTTTGAAATGGGCACTCTCGTGCAAAAAGCCTTAGGAACTTTCTGCTCTGCTTTTAGTTGGGCTTCTCTGTGACCACTGACTTGTCTTAAAACCCCATTGTCTGGTTGTTTTTCTCCCCCCAGGACACTCTGTTCTGTGTGGTGGCTGCATTTGGGTGCTTCTACTACTGATGCTGGTGAAGATTGCAGAGAAGAGCTCACAATCTTTTAGAGCATTTCTAGTGTGGTTTTCTTCTGTAATATGTTTTGGAGGGGAAAAAATGAGGCAAGCCACATACTCAGTTGTTCAAAGCAGCAGACCTATGGTTGTGTAAAGCACACTCGCCATCCCTCCATAGAACACGTGTGTTCACAACTTCCTCTTCTCTCCTCCTCGTGCTAAATGTTGCTGTGTGGCCTATTAATAGTCTGTCATCCTTTTTAACCTTCCCTTTGTACTGTGTGCAAAAAGGGATTTATCCATCCCCACAAGCCAAGCATCTTGCTCAGTCACTAGACAGTTCGTGTCTGCAGGCATATCCAACTTCTGTCTTGAAATGGCCAATTCCTTTCTATGAGTATCTACTTGTTTCTATAATGTCTGAACTATTTATGAGAAGCACAATTATAATAAATGTAAATGTATTTATTTTACCTTTTTGCAACTCTGCTGCCCCCGTTTGCTCGTCTCTTCCAATGTTGTCTGGGCTGCCTCCATTCCGCCCTCTAGTGTCGGGCAAAATAGGCTGTCTCTTATGAAATAGTGTGCCTCTCTGAACCAGTCAGTGTGTAAGGTGCCACCCTGCCCTGCTCTACCATTTACAATAGTCTTAGATATTCAAGAGTGCTTCTTTCACTACTGTTTCCAATCCACTTCTAAGGCACAGAACGCCCATCTTCAACTAATCCTCAAAACCACTACCCTGTCCTCTTCTGAATCCCATGATGAGATCATGGACTTCAGTGTTGCCTAAGAACAAAAGAAAGCTAATCAATCCAGCTTACATTAATAAGCCAGTTAGGTTGAGCTGATACTTATGGAAAGAAAAATGATTCACGGCAGTTAAGTCAGACATTAGCTCACACAGCTGATTACTTTATTACAGCCTCCTCTTCCTCCTCCTCCTCCTCCTTTGCGTACTGCTTGCTATGCCGGCTTTTGGCAGCTAATTTCAAAGTAGGCCCTGATTTTGCAAACACTGACAGAAATAACTTCACTCTTGTCTGTAATTTCCCCCCACTACCAAGTAAAGCACCTGCAGTATTGTGCCTGCAGTTTAAGCATTAGATAGCTGCAGCCAAGGCTAGGAATTTTGACTAGGTTGCGCCAGTGCTGCTAGGACTTAAAGCCAGAAGTTCCTGGCTAGAGGGTCTTGCCCCTCTGCTCAAGGTCAGGCCAACTGCTATATTTTGGGTCAGGAAGGAACTTTACACTACGGTCAGATTGGTACGGACTGGGTGGCGGTTGCCTTCCTGCGTAGTGGGGCATGGTCTCTACCTGGGATCTCAATAAGGAGCAGGACGTTGGTTGCTGTGGTCCTCCTACTTTACCTGGGGCAGGTTTGGGTTTGATGTCTTCTGTTGTGTCAGGGTCATTGGTAGTTTTACAAAGAATTTAGATTATGGCTTTGTGTAGCATGGTTTGGATAGGGCTGATCCTGCCTCAGGCAGGGAGTTCGACTCGATGTCACCTCCGCAGCTCCCTTCCAACCCCGCTTGATTCTATGTCAAGGTGTGTGTATGCACAGTAGGATTTCAAGACATTTTAGCATTATCACAGTCTAAATTAGCCATGGTTGCTACATTTAATGACAGTGGGGGTTACAACAGGTCACAATGACACTCCAAAACTTCAGGAGGCAAATGAAGAATAAAGGATGACACTAAGCTGGGGGGAGCAGTAGATATGCTGGAGGGTAGGGCTAGGATTCAGAGAGACCTTGACAAATTGGAGGATTGGACTTAAAACTTAGGGTGTTCAATAAGGAGAAGTACAAAGTCCTGTACTTAGGACAGAACAGTCCCATGCATCAGTGCAGGCTGGGGGTGACGGGCTGGGCAGCAGCTCTGCAGAAAAGGACCTGGGGGCACAGAGGACAAGAAGCTGAACAGGAGCCAGCCGTGTGCCCTTGCTGCCAAGAAGGCTGATAGCGTCCTGGGCTGCATTGGTAGGAGCATTGCCAGCAAATGGAGGGAGGTGATTCTTCCCCTCTGTTCAGCACTGGTGAGGCCACATCTGGAGTCCTGTGTCTAGTTTTGGGCCCCCTGCTGCAGAAAGGCTGTGGACAAATTGAAGAGACTCCAGCGGAGGGCAACAAAAATGTCTCGGGGGTTGGAGCACATAACTTGTGAGGAGAGGCTGAGGGAACTGTGCTTATGAGGGGGGGATTTGAGAGCAGCCTCCAACTCCCTGCAGGGGGGCTGCAAAGAGGATGGAGCTGAACTATTCTTAGTGGTGCGGATGACAGGACAAGGAGCAATGGGCTCAAGTTGCAGCAAGTGAAGTTGCGGTTTGATATTAGGAAAATCTTTCTCATGAGGAGGGTGGTGAAGCACTGGACCAGGTTCCCCAGAGAGGTGGTGCAGTCTCCATCCTTGGAGGTTTTTAAGACCCAGGTAGACCAAGCCTTGGCTGGGATGATCGAGTGGGGGCTGGTCCTGTTCTGAGCAGGGGGTTGGGCTAGCTGGCTTGCTGAGGTCCCTTCCCACCCTCATTGTCTGTGATTCCATGACTTGTGCATTCTGTTCCACCTTACAGTGCTGGAAATAGTATGCTACAATGCTGGACATGAGACGCACCATAATTATTTTTCTTCCTCCTCTGAGTGATATCCCAAAGCAGTACCTACCTCAGCTTCATCTAGTTTGAATCTGAATACCAAATAGACTGTCACCCCATATACTTAGTTATTAACAGATCAGCACATCAGATTGTCATATGTTCCACACGCTTAGGAAATGATTTTGCCTTGGCATCGCTGAGATCGCAGCTCAAGCTTTACTAACTTAAGAAAAGGAGCTTGAAGATGAGAGGGGGGGCAAAGAAAAAATAAGACGATTCAATGAAAATACTCGCTAAAAAGCTGATGTTTAAATTCTTTGCTCCATCTTCCTGTATCAATCTGATTCATCAAGTCATTGGAAAAAAAATTTAAATAGTAATGAAACCTGGCATGTGATTACTTTGGTTTTTACTAAGGCAAGGACTAAAAAAAAAAAAAAAGGAAGCCCTGTTTTATTTCTGACATGTATGTGCTACCCTTCCCAACAAAGGCTCAGTGCAGCTAGAGAGCAATATAATACAATACGGCTTGCAACAACTTACAGTGCTAACATAAAATATAAACCAGCCCACCTAAACAATGTCCCAGCCTGGTCTTGCTTGTTAAATGCCTGCCCAAGCAGAAAGGTCCAGGGTGCTTCTGGAAGATGTCCAGGCTCCGGCTCTGGCGGCCTCAAGGATTGAGTCCCAAGGCTGAGGAGCAACTGCTGCAAACAACCTTCCCACATGTTTTTGCCGTGCGGCCTTGGCGCACTGACGGTGCTTTGCAGAAGGTTGCTCTTGGCTGACCTCAGGAGTCATGATGAGGCATAAGGGAGCAGGTGGTTTGTAGGGCCCAGGTCATTTAGGGCCGTAGAGGTCAAAACCAGCCCCTTGCCTTGTGCCTGGAAAGATACAGGAAGCCAGTGCAGACTGCAGTTTCTTTTTTTTTTTTATTCATATATTTTGTGTTCCAGGTCAAATCAGCCAAATCATATCTATTGAGCACAAAATCATTCCAAAAACGATGTCGACTGAGCAGGCAGGACTCAGTCATTCTAACTACCTTGTCTGGTGCTGCGGCCAGTGAGCATCCTCCCTCCCAGGCTCTCATCCTGGGATTTCAGATGCTCCCAAATCCATCGGCAGGCATCCTACGTGCCAGCCCAAGCCCAGATGTCTTGGGATTCGGATGCCCCCGTTTGATCTTAGCCCACAAGAGGCCAAGACGCTTGATCTGAGCCAAATGCTCAAGGGCACAGAAGGTGGGTGGGTTTTTGTTGTTGTTTTAAGGAAAATTTTTCATGTCCCAAGTCCAATCAGCCAGATCAGTTCCAAATCCTTTCGACCTTCCAAGAACCATATGTGGCCCTACTACCGGCAAGTATCCCCCACCCCAAACTTTCCAGCCTGGGGCTTCGGATACTGCCAAATCTTTTGGCGGGCATCCTACGCGCGGGCCCGAGCCCAGAGGGTTGGGGTTTGGATGCCAACGAGCTTCGCTTGCCCTCAGCCGTGCGGCCGCAGGAGCAAGCAAAGGAGAAATCTCCATGAATGTCCATGAAGTCGGCGTGTAGCCAAGATCCTCCCACTGGAAGCTGGCCAGCAGGAAGCTTGTCGGGAGTCCTGTCCACAAGCAGATGAGGGTGCAACCCTCCGCTACTCAGTGCCATCTTAATTGCATCACCTCAGTCACACTGTTAGCACAAAGGAGAGCCTTGGCTCCACCAGGATCTGCACGAGACAACTGGTGGTCTCTCCTGGAGTGAGCACACGGCAGAGACGTGTCCCCCAGGCCGCGGTGATCAGCACAGAGCAGGCCATGCGCTATAGTCGGGATTGAACCCGGCAGTTTGCAGCCCCCCCCGGCAACTTTGGGCTTGTTCGCTCCTCGGTTCGCTTCCTCCCCAAGTCCCTCCACGTGCCGCAGGGCGGCCCGGCACGTGGGGACCTGCCTTTTCCCGCTGCCGGGTTTCCAAGCCCCGGCCCCACTTCCTCCGGGGGACTCGACCCCAAGCCCCGCCCTTCAATTAGGGCAGCCCCGAGGCCCTCCTTCAGGCCTCCTCTTGCTTCCCCTCTCGCTGCAGGTGGCCGAGGCCATGGCGGAGCGGCCGCGCAAGCACCACCGCAAGTCCAAGCGCTGCCTGCTGTGCGAGGCGCCCTTCCCGGGCACGGCAGAGGGGGAGCTGTGCCCCGAGTGCGACGCCCCGCTCCCCGCCGCCCAGCTGGACCTCGACACCGAGTGGCGCAGCAGGCCCCTGTCCCCGGGGCCG